CGGCCACCTTGGGACCCTGGCCCCGGCACAGGACCAGAGAGGGGCTTAGTGTGGAGTGACTGGAGTCCGAGGCTCAGATAGCTCTGGAGCTGGGAGCCGTGGTGTCTTGAGAGCACTGTGGATTGGGGTAGACTGAGGCAGCGAGTGGGCCGGAGGACCCTCTGACTCTGGGCAACAGGGGCCGCAGGGAGAGGCTCCCTTGGGGCGAAGCCAGGCCCTTTTCCGCCCCCTCACCGGTCCGCCCTCTCGCCGGCCCAGGGGTCTCCCTCTGAGTGGCCATCTCTGGGGCAAGGGGCGGAAGGACCGTCTGGTGCCCTGCCGCGGCAAGAACGTCTGCGTGCTAGCGCAGGGCTCCGGGGCGCAGCCCCCTCCCTGCAGCGGGGGGCCAGGTTCTGTCACGGCACCCGTTGTGCTGATGGAGAAGCTGAGACCTGGAGAGCCTCGCAGCACAGCCAGGATGCGGCTGGGCTCTGCGCCGGGCGCGCCAGGCGCGCCGGGCACTGGAGCTCACTGCCCCGGCCGAGGGCCGCCAGATCCGTCAGCCTCCAGCCTCAGGCCGTAGCCAGGAAACCAGGACTCTCCCTCCTGCAGGTGGGAGGGCGGAGGGCTGGCGCGATCTCAGCGTGTGACCTTGGGCTTCCCTCCGGGGCTGCGGTTTCCCAGTCTGGCAGGGATCGCTTGGGACTACGGTGAGGAAGGGCCTTGGGAGCTGTCAGGCGACGAAGGGCCTTGGGAGCTGTCAGGCGACGCAGCCGTCCGCGTGGGGGCTGCTGTGTCGCCTGACGTGCCCTCCCACCCCCACGCCGGATAACTCAGCCTCCCCGGTTGCGTCCTTGTCCATTCAGCTCTGCGGTTGCCTTCCCCCTTCCTCCTTTCCTTCCTTCCCTTCTTTCTTCCTGTCCACGCTCTTCGTGAGATGAGTTTGTCTCACTGTGTCGCCCAGGCTGGTCTCAAGCTCCCGGGCTCAAGCAGTCCTCCCGCCTCAGCCTCCCGAAGTGCTGGGATTACAGGCGTGAGCCCCTGCGCCCCGCCAGTGGCTGTATGGTTTTGTTCATGCCTTTGCCTTCAGTACCCGCCGCCTCGCCTCCTGGATTCACCTGTAGAAATGCTCTCTGCCCTCACTGCAAGATCAGTGTGGTGGCCCCGATGCACAATGAGTGTTACGTGCCGCCCTCTCCTCCAGGAAGGCTTCCCTGGCCCCTCCACCTCACCCACACTTAGTCTCCTCCTCTTTGGCGCTGTCCGGGACTGTGGTGCTGACCGCAGTCTGCTCAGAGCCTCTGCGGCTTTTGCCGCTGTCCTCCGCCCAGGGGCTTCCTGGAGGACAGAGCTGGGTTTGTGCGGCACCACACCCACCCGGCACAGAGTGCAGGGCCTGGAGGGCAGCAGGTCTTGCTTGGTGGGATTAGATGACGTTTCTGTGCTTCTTACCCACGGGTAAGGACCGGGTGCATTGGTGTGCGTTGGTGGCCCCCGAGGTCCAGGATGGAGGGGTCCACCTGGGGCAGGGTGGAGTCGGGAGCGAAGGCAGCAGGGGGCCGTGAACTCGAACCAACTCCTTCTGTGTCCCCCAGTTCTCCAAGGAGAAGTACATCTTGGACTCGTCGCCAGAGAAGCTGCACAAGGAGTTGGAGGAGGAGCTCAAGCTCAGCAGCACGGACCTCCGCAGCCATGCCTGGTACCACGGCCGCATCCCCCGAGAAGTGAGTGGGCCCGAGCCGGGCCTCGGCCCCGGTCCCTCCCCCCACCCGGGCCCGCCCAGCCCGGTCCCGACCCGTGCTCGGCAGGCTCAGCCAGAGTGGCCTGGGCTGGAGCTCGGCGCTGTCATGCACTGACTGTGCGACCTTGAACAGGTGACGCATCCCTCGGGGCCTCCGTTTCCTCATCTGTAACGCGGGGCACGATGATAGCGCCAGCCTCACAGGGTGACTGTGGGAGGGAAGTGAGACCGTGCGGGTAACGTGCTTCACATGGCTGGCCCCGGCGAGCTCAACGAATGGCGTCCTTTGTTGCTATTATTGCTACGTTGTGGCTGCTGGTCTATATGTCTGCCAATAGTGTTTGGTTCGTATCGATCTTCGAACTACTGTCTTTTTTTCTTTTTTTGGGTAGAGACGCGGTCTCAGTCGGTCACCCAGGCTGGCCTTGAACTCCTTGGCTCACGTGGGCTTCCTGCCTTGGCCTCCCAAAGTGCTGGGATTGTAGGTGTGAGCCACCGTGCCTGGCCAATTTTTTTGTCATTTTTTTATTTTTTAGAGACAGGTTCTTGCTGTGTCGCCCAGGCTGGAGCGCAGGGGTGCGATCATAGCCCACGGCAGCCTCGAACTCCTGGGCTCAAGTGATCCTCCTGCCTCAGCCTTCCCAGTAGCTGGGACTGTAGGCAGGTGCCACCACACCTGGCTCATTTGTTCTTTTTTTTGTAGAGATAAGATTTCGTTATGTTGCCCAGGCTGGTCTTAAACTCCTGGCTCAAGTGATCCTCCCACCTCGGCCTCCCAAAGTGAGCCACTGTACCTGGCCTGGGCTACTCGGTTTTGGCAAAGTTGTTTCTGGGCGGAAGTGCCTTTATTTAACGCAGACTTGGGCTGATAGATCACTTACACTCTCATCCATGCCCAGCACCAGATCTGCCAGGACCTGTGCTGGGCACTAAGGATGTGGAGATAGATGACGTGGTGGCGTCCCTTGAGGGCTGGTGGCTCAGGGTGGGCAGGCAAGCAGGCAGAGTCTAGTGAAGAAGTGGAGGAGTCGAGCACCCAGCATGAATGCGGACGAGCCCTGAGGCGGAGGCGCTGGGCAGGAAGGCCTTGTGCGACGCATCGGAGTTCACCAGGCGGGCAGGGCAGGAAGGGTGCTGGACAAGAAGGCAGCTGAGGGTGCGAGGGCCCAGGGACATGTGGGAGCGCTGAGGGGCTGGAGGGCTGAGGGTTGGGAGTTCACTCTGCTCAGTGAGCACCCGGAGGAGACCCCAGCCTCAGGCCAGTGACCCCGCCTCTCCAGACCCTGGACCTCTGTGACTTCCCTCCCAGGATTCTTTTTTAAAGCTTTCGTTTTTTTAGTTTGAGTTGGGGTCCCCCAACTCAACAGACTCTGCTGCCCAGATTGGAATACAGTGGCACAATCAAGGCTCACCACAGCCTTGGCCTCCTGGGCTCAGGCGATCCCTCTGCCTCAGCCTTAGCCTCCCAAGTCGCTGAGCGACGGGCGCGCGCCACCAGGCCCAGCTCACGGCTTCGTTTTTTGGAGAGACGAGAGCTTGCTGTGTCGCCCGGGCTGGTCTCCATCCTCCCACCCCA